CACTATAGGATGACACCTATCACTCACCTTCAAGCTATGTTGCCTCTAACAAGCCCATTCAAGACACAATATCACACATTAGGATGAAACACATTGATCTCTATATGTCAATGTCATATTGAAACAAGCTTCTTTTTTTTTTTTTCAACTTTAAAGAAACAGCCAACTATCTCTAGAATCAAGCCTGACTTCTTTGCTATGCTCAGTGCGCCCCGTTAAAATGCCCCCCCACCCCCCTCTCTCTATTCCCAGATGACCCGGAATCAAAGGCTGATGATGGAAACGCTGACGACAAAACCCCTCAAGACCAGCCAGCTGAAGAGGTATAAACATACAGGAGTGCACATAATGGGCTATTGTAGGAGCACAAAAATGACACCTTTTAAAAGAGATGCAGGGATACATTGTGTTTGATGTGACCTCTCATTAGTGGGGAGCACAGCAGACACATTTCCTGCCATGGTGTTTGGTTCTTTGTCGCATGTCATTCTTTCTCTCATGGGTTTTTTGTAAATACCTTGTCATGAATGAATTTATATCAGCAGTAATTGGCTGAGTCTGATGCATACAATCTTATAGTAATGAGCCAAAACCTATATTTCAACTGCCTTAAATACAGAATTAATGAGACTGGGTTGGAGGACTGGACTGTGAATAATTAACTAATTAATTATATACCTAATAATATGATACCTGTTATTTAATTGCATATTAATTGATATGCATTTCCATTGGGAAGCTCAATTGCCTGTTTTGATTCTTTGACTCTCACTACTTGTTGCATATTGACTGACATTCCGTAAAAAGGTACTTGAAAGAAAAACATAACCACTTGATTCATAAGAGCTCATGACTCTATAGCGCTGTCACTCTGTTTCAGGAAAATGTACGTCCCAGGCTTAAAATAAATAAGAGTATAAATAAGAGTTATAAATTGTTTCTATGGTATCTTTTCATCACAGAAACCTGCAGATGATGCTGCAAATGCCGCAGAGGAGAACGGTGAAAAGGCAGGAGAGCAGGTGGATGCTGCTGCCGAAAACACCACAGCAGTAGATGCCTCCCCCAGCAAAGAAGAGAAGGAGGAAAAGCAGGAGACAAATGGTGAAAAAGAGGGAGGGGAAGAGAAAAAGGAAACTGAGGGGCCAAGCGATGAAAAAGAGGGAGGGGAAGAGAAGAAGGAGACTGAGGGGCCAAGCGATGCAAAAGAGGGAGGGGAAGAGAAGAAGGAAACTGAGGGGCCAAACGATGCAAAAGAGGGAGGGGAAGAGAAGAAGGAAACTGAGGGGCCAAGTGATGAAAAAGAGGGAGGGGAAGAGAAGAAGGAAACTGAGGGGCCAAGTGATGAAAAAGAGGGTGAAGCAACAGCAGGAGCTAAGGAGAAAGAGGAGGAGGTAGAAGATGAAGTGAAGGAGGAGGTCACGGATGAGAGTGAGGAGGGGGTTAAGAGTGAGGAGCAGGGGGCCAGCAGTAGCAACACTGATAAGAGCCAGGACGGTAAAGAGAAAGAGGACGGAAGCCATACATCTTCTGAGGGTGAAAAGGATGCGCAGGGAAAAAATACGGAAGAACAGGAGCAAGATAAAGACAGTGGTAAGGGGGAGAAAAGCAGTAAGGACCAAAATAATGATGTAGACACAGAGGAGCAGAAAGAGACAGAAAACAGCAATGACCCAGGGAAGACTCAGTCAGATAACGAGACAAAAGACACCGATAACAGCAGAAGTAACAGTAGCAACAGTAACCAGGAGAAAGATGTGAACAAAACAAAGGAGGGAGCAAGCAAAGAGCCAGGGGAAGAGGAGAGAGAGGTGAATGGAGAGGTCAGCGGAGAAGATGATGAGGTGCAAAGTGAAGCAGAACTGGACACGGAGGAGAAAAATTCAGCCAGTCTCAAAGATACCACAGCAAATGGAGAGAAAGCAAAAGAGGACAGTGATAAAAAGAATTCAGATAACAGCAGGAAAGAGACAGATTAGGGAAGAAAGAGAAAATGTCTAAGTGGATGGATGAGCAGTGCTGAAAGTAGGACGCAAAACTTTACGATACAATGTAAAAAATAAAGGAGGATGGCAGCGGAAATTCACAGAGAGCAAAGCGAGAGTCAGAGATATTTACTAGATGTCCTTGTAGAAGTTGCACTGAGAAGAAAATGATTCCACAATGCTGAGCAAGTAATAGAATATTTGAATGGCTGACTGCTAAATGATGTTAAGTACAAAAAACACTTCAGGTATATATTCAAAAGCTATTCATCAAAACATTATCCATGTCTGAAAGAGACAAAACAAATAAAAGCTATGCTAATATATTTTTATTTTCCATGAAGACATACTGTTACCTCTTGGGCTGCTTTATTTTGTCAGTATACACTGTGAATACTGTAGTGAGTGATGCAGGGAAATTGAAACGTTGTTGCAGCTATACATTAAATGTTTAAATACGAAAATATAAGTTTATTTTTAACAGGTAGGATTTTGCTTTTTGTATGTATGGTATTTTTGTCTATTTCCCTAAACAAGTGCTACAAATGAGCTTTCTCAGTGAGTACAACAAGCTATACAATAAGCTGCTGTATATGTAATACTGTATTTGTCTGAATGTTAAGCTAAATGATACGATAATGATTTAGTTTGAAGGTCCTCTTTACAAAGCTGTTTCAAATCATAATCTTTTTGTTATTTAGTCTTTATGTCCCATGAATATTTGTTTATTTGTATTTATCTTCTACAAATAAAGAAAGAAAGAAAATGACAGCTAGCGACCTGCTTCATTGGAACAGACCTCTCTGTCTCTCTTTATCCCCGACAATTCATTATGAAATGACTCTAATCAAACTGCGAAAAAAATAAAATAAAAGAATACTGAAACTCCAGAGTTTGCCGGTCAAATTGGACAATCCACAGTATGTAATATGGATGAAAGGTAAGCGTTCATGTTTTTGAAGGGAAAATGTTTAAGAAAAATAAAAATAGTAGTGAGCCTAGGAGAGAATTTAGAATTTAAAGTAAAGTAAGTAACCAGTCATTAATGTACATACTATATATGCAGTGCTGGAAGAAGTATTTGCCTCCTTTACTTTAAGTAAATGTTTGTACATACCACAAATATTTAAAACAGCCGTTCTATTTGTAAGTTTTCTCTGTCGCTGAATGTGGTGTCTTGCCAGGAGCAGGTGTTGTTGATTGATGATTGACAAGTGCTTCGGCCATCGTTGTGTTTACAAGACAAGAGGTTATAATACGCCCTCTGAGTCTTCAGGGAATATTGGTCGCAACAGTGGGTCACTATCTGGAAGTGAAGAGACAGGCTAGCCAGCTAGCTGGTTAGCATGCTAATATCAGTAAAAGAAAAAAAGATGTGATAGAGACCAGAGTTAACATTGTCTTTTTCAACCACTGCAGGCAGCTCTTGGCGAGTAAAGGAATGAAGTTTGATGCTGAACTCATTGCTTCAAGACTGGTAAGTAAACAGCTGTTAATGCTAATGTTGGCGATGTAGCATTAGCAAAACTTACAAATAGCTCCTTTAAGTTAAAGAGATGCATAAATTTACTCAAGTATAATGTATCAAACTAAAAAGAAGTTATGTTATGTTATGCTATGAATTATAAAAAGGTACTGTATCTTTTATATGCTTATAGGTTCTTTAAATTTTAATACAGAAAGTAACTAGTAACTACACTGGCCCAATAGATGTAGTGGAGTAAAAAGTCTGTTATCATGTATGTATGTGTGTGTGTGATCATGTGTGCGCAAAGACTTAAGTGCTTATAATCATATTTTGAAGCAGCTTTTCAAATGTTCAGGACAGAACATTACATTTATGTTTACAGGGGAGATTTTCATCAGGTGAAAAAATAAATAAATAAATAAAAAAATTGGCACTACTTATTCCACAGTTAATGTAATAATAATTGCATTATCCATACATTTTGAGGCCTAAATCTTAATTTAAGGAACTGAGATGCACAGGTTTGCAAGTAACAGGTGAAACAACAGAATGCAGCCAACACACTTCATGTTGATTCAGTCATTTTTTTCCTCTGTCTGCCCCTGAACGAAGCTTGTATAAAACAACTACAAAATGCCTCCCACAGCAGGAAACCATAGTGTGAACTGTGATCTATTTCAGTGTCGATGATGGCCTCACCACCCTCTCAACCCTGCAGCTGCTCAAATTGGGATTCATGCAGTCAGCGTGTTTGTGACTCACCATCCCACGAGAGAGGGTGAACATGGGTGAGAGATAGGGTGAGGTAGAAGGAGAGAGCAAGAGCAAGCGATGCAGAGAGAGGCAGAGGAGGCGGCGGCTGGTGTGTGTGTGTGTGTGTGTGTGTGTGTGTGTGTGTGTGTGTGTGTGTGTGTGTGTGTGACTCATACAGCCTGACTGGTCGGGGTGATGATCCTCAAGGTGCTATTTCTGGAGTTACCATCAATTCTGTCTTATCTCCTCCACTGGCCCCTTTCAGTGTGTGTGTGTGTGTGTGTGTGTGTGTGTGTGTGTGTGTGTGCGCGCGCGTGTGTGTGTTCATGTGTGTGAGTGTTAATAAGGCCGTGAATAGCACAGGCACTCTGCTTCCTCTACCTAAATGACTCTCCTGATTGATTACAAGCTCCTACACAGTGTAATGAAGGCTTAGTATGTTGGGACACAATATTGAGAGTTTGGAATCCTTTATTATTGAAAACCAAATCCTATAATTACTCATTTCCTCTCTGTTTCCTCCATAAAGGGGATATGTTATCTTTCAGAACAAAAGACCCTGCTTAGACATTGAGCATCTCAATCTCAGATAATTAAAAATTTGAAAGAGGACAAAAAGTGTCAGTTGTTTAGTGAAATTCAAAACAGTGATTTTACAAGGAAACTAGAATCAGACTACATAAAACACTGAGAACTATTCTCTATAAAAATACTAATTTGGGCCATTTAGCTTAATGTGTACTGTATGTTTTGATATGAGGATGGCTTACATAGATTCTTCACACATTTTGAGCTGCGAATATTTCAGTTTTATTGTGTTCTTTGAAAAATAGACATATACTGTATATAGACAGTGATATATATTTGTTCTTTATCCAATCCAAGTACAGTATAATTGTTTTTTATTTACTGGGGGTATCCACTGTTACATCAGGAGACAATTAAAGATAGAACCAGAGGACATGAGGTCAGAAGTGAGGGAGCATTTTTCAGATTCAGAGCTGAAAAATCTCCATTTTGGAATTTGGATTGTAATGAAGAATTCCACATTGGTCAATTGAAGGATAAAAAAATAAAATCACAATTCACAGCATGTAACTATAAGTCAGCACATTTATTGACCACTTACTGAAGTTTTGACCACACTGGAGAGATTGTTTACAGCTTGGAGCTTGGTTTTTCTTCTTGTACTGTAGGTTTGCAGCTTAACAGTGCTCGAGTAAGTTCCTTGAAAATGTACTTAATTATTAGTATGTTGTTCTTCATAGTTATAGCTACGTGTTTGTGTCGAATCTGAAACTAAAATGTGTTGAAATGACATTGCAGAACCTTTCAAAGTAAGAGAAGAAAGGCAGTAAAGAAGGAGAGCGAAGGTCATGAGAATTATATTAAAAGGTCAACTTACATGGACATAACGAGCACAGCAATTCATTATTTCATACAGTCAGTATCCAACATTGTTGCTGCATGGATTTGAAGAGAATACACTGCTTGGCAGGACCTGCTGCATTGATGCGCAGCAAGCAGCTTGATGGCACTTGGACAGTAACTACCACTGGTACCGTGTGTTGTATCTGTGTGTGAATAATTCAAAAGATAAACAAAAAGTACTTTCACAATATTTAAAAATATACTCATGATACATGTAGACAAAAAGGTTTTATCAGCATAACTGTTAACAGCTTCTTGTGCTTGTATGTGAGCTTGAGCTTGTGCCAAGCTTGTATCAAATAAAAACCTTCCTGATGTAATAGCTATTTCAGATATAGTGTATAAGTAAATATGCAACTTAAAAAAAAAAAAAAAAAGTTCCATGATGCAACTTTCCTACAGTATTACTAAGTGTATATCGTTCAGCATCTGTGAATCATCACACGCTGAAAACAGTGAACACTGTCAAACACGATGATGCGGCTGATGCGATCTCACTGGAGAGCTGACTGCGCGTTCTTCATCCCCCTGTTATGTCATGTTATTTGTCTCTCTTCACGCACCCTTGCACCTGCTCCATTTTTAAACACGCAGCACCTGTACTTTCTGTTGTTTTTTTTTTTTTTTACCAGTAACTGACAACAGTTTGATTCACAATGTTGCAAAAAATGTACTTGTTTCAGTAAAGAGGTGTGTGTCTACCTGCTTCCTTTTGTCACAAGAAGGAGAAGGAGACACAGAAAGAACGAGCATAGGCAATGAATTCTTTAGGAAAACAACAACAACAAAAAAAACAGTTTCAAAGATAGAAGGCATGAGGAATGCCTTATTCATCTTATCTAGAAAGTAAGCCGTTTGATTAAGCGACAGACTGTGCTGTTCTGCATGATCTGTCTGGTTCAATGTACTTTTCATCAGTCTGTCTGGTCTTGTCTATCGATCCTGTCTGCAGATTTACTGAAGAGGACAAGGTCAGAGGCCTAACAAGACACGAGGAAATGTCAGGGTGAAATCTCCCCTCAAGGTCTGTTCTAATCTGTTTGTGTTTGATTTGTCCTGATGATGTGTGAAGCAAAGCTATTTGTTAAGACTTGTCCTTGTTGCATGTAAGCAGTACTCATAAGAAGTATTCATAAGCTAAAACACACGTCTTCATGTTGTGTGGTTGTGACTGGCAGCTCTGGCTGACAGTGAGCTGAATGTACATGTACACACAAGGTGTTCTGTACATACAAACACTCGTCCTCTGATGTCCTTTTAGACACTAGCCAGAGATAATGGTGGCTGTGTTCAGCGCTTCTTTTGATCATTTCTGTGAATGGAGCCCAATCACCAATAGCTTCTAACAACACTGCATCTGCTGCTCCTCACCCTGCAGCAGGAACGCCATCCATTTTTATTTTTTAACAAAATGGGAATCCTCTCTACAGAAAACCTATCTGTGGAAACTATGATAGTGTTGTTCAGCAGCTGCGTTTTATTGATTTGTTTCTGTGGTTTGTTTTTCTGGGTAGGACTCAAGACCTGCATGTGCTTTGTTAGGTTACTATGAGTTTTTTTTTTTTTTAAATCAATAAAATAAATAAATAAAAGACTTAAACTTTGTTCAGCTATATTAACTCTGCACCTATATAACCTTGAAATCAAACACAGCAAATAAAGATGAAGTAACCACTACTTTCAGCCATGTAAGCTGACCTTTCGAAAGAAAGAAATGCACACGTAGCTCGACCTACACACACGTGTACGCACTCAAACACAGTCTGCTCTCTCCCTGCTCTCAGTCCCCCATACACACTTCTTTGAGTGATGCCTTCATCTGGACTTCTGTCAGGTTTCCGACTTCGTGGTCGCTGGCTGGATGTTCTGCACTTTGGAGAGTGTGACTGGCACCTTTCCGTCTCCGGGGGTGGGTGCTCTCATTATGGGGGTACCTGTGAGAAAGGCAGTTCTGCTATGTGGGATATTCATACAAAACGATATATAATAGTACACTGTAACAAAAGAAAAATAATCCTTTCTTTTACTGTTTGGCAAATGTATTTTTAATATTCAATCAAAATTGTGTTATAACGAGACACAGCAGAGGGAAATCTCACCAACTGTTGCGTGCAGATCGGCCAACCTCTCCTTAAACTTCTGCTGCAGATACAGTTCTTCTTTGGAGTAGCTTTTTGCGAAGGCAGACAGCAGGAGGCCCACAGCCATGGAGGTGCCCCCCACACAGAACAGCACAGCACCAGTCAGCTTACACACATCCAGGGCGCGGTTGAAACTAACAGCATGGCTGTTCAAGACAAACGCAGTTCGTTCAGAGCATTAATTAGAAGCGTGACATCAATAACTGTGAACTTCGTCCGAAAGTCACTGATTGGAAGACAGTTTTTCACCTTTGGGATCAGCTGAGTCATTTAGCATTAGAGTTCTGAGTTGTGGTGTGCAGTCTTTGCAAGCTTACTCCGGCTCTGTTCTAATTTCGGTGGAAATAACAGCTTTCACTCAGGGTGTGATCAGTACTTGGCTGTACAGTACAATACATTACAATGGCTACCCATGTATGTAGAACCTACACTGCACTGTATGTCCCAATTAAAGCACAATATTCTTCATTATGATCAAGTCTTAGAGGCAATAGCCACGCAAGAATATTAATGATTGCACACATTTTCCACATATTAGTCAAATGTATTGTTCCTATACCTGTCAACAAAGAGGAGATCATCCTCGCCAAATGCCTCAATCCTGGCTGGAGTGGCATAACCCACCAAAACAACGATGAGGCCCGTAAACAAGATCAGGGTGCCAAACGCGAGACAGACCTGGAAGGAAAAAACGAAGAAGTTGCACGTTAAAGTCTTGTTTGGATTCCAGGTCATTGCTTGCATCTACAGTGTGGCAATAACAGCAGGCGAGATGTGGTTTTGTTTGAGTAATCTGAAGGTCAACCTCACCTTCCAGAGTAAAGAGCTCCACCTGCTAGGCGATCTCTGAATCTGAAAATCTTCATCACGTTCCCAGATAGAAGCTGTGCACTCCTCATAAAACTGGATAAGGGATGAAAGAGATGTTTTTTGTATTTTTTGTTGTTGTTTTTTTTATCGCAGTTCAAACACGGAAACTGAAACCCACAAGAGATCAAGACCTAAAAGTTTCAAAAGGAAACAGTGCAGTGATTACAACAAGAGGCTGTGAAGATGAAGGGGTTTGTGTCAGAGAATGGTAGATATTTGTAGAAGGATGCCCTGTGCCTGTCTTTCTTTTGTGTGTGTGTGTGTGTGTGTGTGTGTGTGTGTGTGTGTGTGTGTGTGTGTGTGTGTGTGTATGTGTGTGTGTCTGTGTTGTACCTGGTGTAGGTAAGAGCGGACTCCATACTGCTGGTAGTTCCCACTGACTTGAGCTTGCTCACCATACTCCGAGCCACAGATCTCTGCGCAAGAAGTCATCCTTCACATCTGTCTACCTGCTTGAGGTCACACACACACACGCACACGCACACGCACACACACACACACACACACACACACACACACACACACACACACACACACACACAAACACAGACATACATGCATGAATGCATGACTGCATGACTGCATTACTTGCTTTGAGAAAACCACCCACGTGGGTTTTGTGGACAAACTCTGCGTAAACATGTACACACACATACACTTTACATTTAAACATTTATACACACAAGCATGTACCCTCACACACACACACACAGCGCCAGAAAGTTATGTAATGCTGTACTGAAGGCAAGGGTGGCTCAGTACATTGAGATTAATGATGCATTCTCCTTGTCTGCTATTATGAAATAAGCCATGAAACATTACATCGGTCCTCTTCCTCAGATTCAATATTGTGTCGGCTGAATACAGAGAGTGCAGACGCACGCAGAATGAATCTCCTTTTTTTTCTTTTCGTATTGCATTACGTGCAAAAATCATAACATCAAAACCCTTTTTTTTCTCCATTACAAATTAAGCAATACAGTATATTTAGTTTGCAAGCTTTCATAGAAGATGCAAATTGAAGACATGCTGTGTAAGGTTTACCATCTTACCATCTATCATCTTTCAGAAAAGGTACCAGGTGTCAGTAACCTGCAGCAGATAGCTTGTTACAGCCGTATATACATGATGGCACATATTGTACCTGTTACCATTTTCTTTGTTCTGTTTTTTTTTAAAGTAACTATTGCATCCGTCTAAAAAAATAATAAATAAATAAATAAATAATAAAGACAAAGAAAACATTTGCTCTAGGAAAAGTTGCAATTCCCTCAGTATCCATCTCAATATCACCGAACATTACACAGCTCGGTGCCTCTACACAAACACACATAACTATGTTTCAAGTTTATGGCAGCAGGCACTAAATCTCAACTGCAGCTTCTGTTGCACCACAACAGAAATAGACTGGGGAGCAGAAGTGGGAATAAAACATTGATCTGGGGGTTGGCAATATTTCTTGTAAATGCTAAAAGAAATAATAATAATAAAAGAAAAAAAAAGCAAGATGTACATCCCAGTAACACATTATTTTATAATATTTTATGGTTCCACAGCAGCAATTCTGTGCTCTCCTGACACATGTGACAAATGGATAAAAGAAATGCCCTTGAAACAAAACCAGGCGCTTAATGCGGTTTCTGGTTCATCAGGGCAGGTATGTAAATCAACGAGATCTCCTGGAGCGGGTGATGTTAAATAAAGTAGAAGTGGTTTCTCACCTCTTGTATCAGGCTTTTATCTGTAAGCACAAATTCCTGGTAAACTAGTTAGGGAAACTAGTTATGCAACTGTGTATAGGTATAGTACTAGTGAAATTTCCTGATGCAAGGTGTGCAGCAATAATGCTACATGAATGTCACATGGGAGGAAATGGGAGGGGGTCTACACACAAAAGAGCATCTTGTACCTCCGGATAGTATTGCCATTAATGTCATTAAGGTTATTACACGACTCTTGTGTGTTTGGCAGTATTAATACTTAGTATCAAGTGATCTATAAAGGACATCACACAGTATCTTGTGATGATATTCAAGTCAGTTCCAGTCAAGTTAGTTTTGTTTATATAGCCCCAAATCACGAATTGTCCCCAAAAGGCTTTGCAATCTGTACAACATACAACACCCTCAGTCCTTCAAACCTCTATGGGTTGACTTGTTCTATTGGATTGAGCCCATGTCAATCAGCAGCACAAAGGCAAAATCAGTTTGTTTTTTTAGTTATTGTGAACTAAATTTAAATATTTGGGGAAGATCATTTCAATGACAAAAGGAATGTGTTGCTATTGAAATCTATACCTCCTGTATTTTGTATTTTTCTGAATGTCCTTATGGATGTTCAGATTACTAATATGATGAGATGAGGAGATGGAGGGTGTCTCATATCTGCAAATTACTAAACATGAATTCACACTGTGTGCTATGGGAAATTACATATTTTCAGTCAGATAAGATAATAGGAGTGTGATGAGTGAAATGCTGCATTAAGATGAGGCACACTGTTCCAGTTAAGTTAATCACATTACTGCTTAATTTGTACCTGCTGAAGACTCTCATGAACATCTGGCTCAGCCCAGATGTTGTGAAGTCTCTCTGTACCCTCATCTGCATATATCCAAGAAAGTATAACAATTCATCATCCAGCCAAATAATCAATCATGCAAATATGGAAATATGAGAGATTGTTTATTATGAACTGTAATTACATTCCAAGTTATTGAGACTCCAAAATGGCTTAGTTTCTTAAAATGGGCTATTTTTGTTGTTGTTGTTGTTTTTGTTGTTGTTGTTGTTATCATATGTCATTTACAATATCAAGATTTTGGAACAAAATTAAATTAGCTTTGGTTTGCATTGCATTAATAAGTGCCCTCAACCTTAAGAGGCCCAGAGCAGAGTTATCCAACCAATATAAAGGGTTAAACTTGATGTACACATCAGGATATTTGATTGAATAAGATAGCTGGAATACAGTGTATCCACTGTGGCTAAATGAAAACAAAGTGAGCAGTGAAAATGGTCAATTACAAAGTCTAGATGAGCTAACAGCTCACAGATATACAGTGTGACTCCTGTAAGGTCTTTTTCGTTCTTAGTCAAGTGCATCCTCTTGTGTTTTGACATACCACAAGAGAAGCTGGAACTGAAATAAACCTAAACCACCCAAATCAAACACACCACGTGAATCTCGACCCGTCTTGACCTAAATCAAACTAGCTTTTGATAAATAAAACCAGAATGCATAAATACAATCAGGAAAAACATACATGTAAACGCTCACAATGTGCAGTTAGCTTGCCTATACAACATGTCCTATGAAGCGCTGAACCGGGGAACTGGCCGTGGTGCTGAGCGCCATTGTTGCCATCCAGCCCCCATCATCCCAGCAGGAAAACACACAGACGTAACATGTGACGCCAGTCTGAAAACAGATCTCATCCATTCGTCCTCCCAACCCCCCATGAGACGCGAATAGACGCACACAGCACCGCTTTCCTGTTGAAACTTAAGAGAGGAGGACTTTGCATTAAAGCATTCTGACTAAATCAGGTCGGCTGACGTCCTGACCACCTGAAAATAACTCAGTCTCTGGGGGGGGGGCATCTACAGGTTCAAGCGTTAGGGTGAAGTTTGATTTCATTTGATCAGGATATAGCAACACCCGAAACGCTCATGAATTAATACAGAAATCATCGGACTGGGTGAAAGGCGACGACACAAAGTTTAAAACAAACATTTGTTCAGCGTTATGGGAGCTACTTCCAGATGTGCAAGCTGAGATCGTTTGCAGGGATGACACCGTCGACAGACTCCTTGCAGGAAATATGAATCCCTGGTATGTTATTCACAAAAGCAACAGTCAAATGCAGCTGCCACAGCGTTCAAAAATATTAATAAGAATCATTAAAATCGTCATTTACCTGTCATTACCAGCTCGGAGAGTGATCACTCGCTGCTGTTCCCTCAGCCGGGTCCCATCACTCTACAGTCACCTCTCTCGCTCTGACTCTCTCTCACTCTCTCTCTCACTCTCTCTCTCTCTCGCTCTCTCTCTCTCTCCCCTCTCTGTCTGTGTCTCTCTCTCTATCTTTCCATCGATGATTCAGATTTTCACGCTGTCTACTGCGCAAGCGTCACATCCATGACAATATATTATGATTCAATGGCGAATATAAATAACCACAGGCAGGAGGAGGCTGAGAGGAGTAGCTGAAGAGGAGCACATTCATTCAAGATTCAACACTCAGAGATTAATGCTTGAATGAGTTTATGGATGGATAAAATAGTAGGTATAGACATGTACATACAGATATGCATTCAGCTTCAACCCACAAGCACACACTGTAAAAAAAACAACAACAACACATTAATAGGCTACAAAATGACACCAGCTCAAAATACATTAAAGTGTATATGTGAAGCCAGGCTCACAGACACAAAATTGAAGAACTACAGTGAACAAAGTCAGTGAGGGTGGAAGAAAAGGCATATGAGTCAATCTGAGTCATCCAATTCCACACCAGGTACACAATATAGTGTAAAACACACACACACACACACGCACACACGCACACACCATTTTCCAGAATTCCTGTCACATTCCACAACAGTCTATTTTTAGCACCATCAGTGACGTACACTGCTCAAGAAAATGTTCGTCACCATCTCAGTGCTCCTCCTGGGGAAGGTATGACCTAAAGAGACGAACCAGCATCACGACTCAAGATATGAAATCCCCGTTCAATAAAGAATGAAGATGAGTCTGCAGCTCTGTCCAAATTATTTTCATGGTTTATTCATTAAGAGTCAGCTCTTCAAACTGATGTGTGGTGCTTTAGTTTGGAACTGCCAGATCATTTCAGAATTTCAGAAAAAAAAATCCCTTTATTCCCTTTAACACATTGTGGAACAAATATGTAGAGAGGTGCTGGCTGTAAAGTAAAGTAGGAATTTATCCCTCCATTCTGCCCAAAAAGAATTCTGTGGATTCACAATAATCAGATCAGTTTTAGAAATTGTTTGATGATATCTTCAGGAGGATATTGACTTCTTTTGTTTCTGGCTTATTCAATGTAGGTTACTTAAATAGAGCTGTGATTAATTACTGCTCCCATAACTATTCCCTCTCTGAGGCTTTGACAGTGTATGACAGCTAAAATGAGTGACTCCCACTTGCACCATAGGCAACATCAATCAAAATTTATTCATTTTCAATGGCTGTTCAGAGAGAGGAAATATTCCTGGATGGCAGATCTCCAACCCCAAAATAGATTCAAGAGGAAGAGCAGACTGGTCGTCAATCTTTACTTGATCAGTCTGGTCAGAATCAGACCAGGCAAACAATATTCAAAGGGCTAACAGAGGCAAAACATAGGCTGGACCGTTAAAGTGACTTATTGGCAGAAAGCCACTGTTATCATTCCTCTTTATATACATATATTGCGAATGACAGCAGGTGACTGCGTCAGATGATGCGCTGAGGCAAGGAACTCAAGACTGACAGCTGGTGGGCAGGTGTCAAATGCAGGTCTGTGTTGGCAGGCAAATCAGCAGAGGTTAATGTGCACAGAACATTAGCTGAGCTTGAGACAGGAAAAAGGGAAGACAGAGAGAAGGTTGCTGCAGCTGTCGCCATGACAATGATCTTCAGGATATTTCTAAGGTGAGACGGTGTTTAGTCTCCAAGGAGAGGTTGTGTTGTGTTGTGCTTCAAATGAGCATTTAGTTTTACCTGCATACAGACAGGTGCAGCAACATGTAGTGGTAAAATGGTGTATCCTTATGTTACATTATTATATTTTTTGTATATATTAGAGATGAGAGTAAGAATTAGCAAACTTTTTCTGAGATGTAAGTTTTATGTGGAAAATTGAATTTACTTTAAGTGCATTCTTAACTGTATTATGTATACCAGCTCTGACCTTTTAGTTAGTTACCATTAGTTAGACTAATGCCATTCGTGAGTGTACAATGACCCTGCATCTCACTTTACTTTCAATTACTTGAGTGGGATGTATATTTATTGTGCTGCCTATGAACCACACACAGATGATGATATGTTACAGACAAGGGACCCATCCAGGGTGTATCCCTGCCTTTTGCCTGATGTATGTTCTACATCATTCTATCTTGAATAAGAATAAACAGTGCATTGTTTGGCTGATGACACATCAGTGATAACATGACAATCTTTTTAAAAGTAATTTTATCTCTTTCACTTTGCACTGGTGTAAAATCAGAATAGGCCTGTTTGAGACAAGAGCCTTTAGTGTTTCTTGAGTAGTTTTAAAGTGTATTTTTAGACAGCCAAGAATACCTCTCATAGCATTCAGTTAGCTAACAATGGCAGACACATTGCATTCATTCATGTGGTAAATCACACAAAGCAGCGTGTGCACATACCCCACACAAATACAGCAGAAAAGGTGACTCAGTGAGGCCTTTGCAGCTCCCATTCACAACTGCTTGTGTTTGTTTGGTGCTATATTCACATATAAAGAGAAAAAAAGGAAAGTCAAAAACACAGGCAAACATTAATTCACAGCCCAATTAATGTTGTACACTGCTCTATCTAGTGTAAATAAGTTTCATAATTGCTCTGGTGATCATACTTTTAAATATAAATTCAAATCTTTATATGGATTAAGGCCATGTGTTTAAATGACCTCAAACGGTAGTGAATGTGTTTGTGAGAACTGACTTCCGGCCAGAGGAACTAATGGACCTCTATAGCCCTATTTTTAAGATAAATTAGATCAAATTAAGTATAAAACACGGAGGCTTGTGAATGTCCTATGCTTAATAACAGGTGAGTTCATGTCTATTTATTATTGGTTAACAAAATAATCTCTTCTTCCGCATCACAGAATGATTTGTGTATGTGCTATCACTTTGCAGCATACTAACGCACTTTTGTTTGGAAGAAAATGTTCTGTTATTTCTCTCTCTCTCTCTCTCTCTCTCTCTCTCTCTCTCTCTCTCTCTCTCTCTCTCTCTCTCTCACTCTGTGTACACGCAGAGCATCTCTGAGCAGAGAGAGGTGGTTTCTATGGCAACATGAAAAGGTCACCTTCAGGAAGTTCTCTGTGAGCGTGTGCAGAATGCCAGTTGGATAATCAGGCTTCCTGTAATGACTGATAACAGACCACAGCTCATTAGAGAAAAAGAGAGAGAGATGGGGGTGGGAGGGTGGGGGGGGTGGGGGTCGGGGAGAGATTATTGGTTGTGGAGCAAAGAAACAATAGAGTCTTTTATACTAATAGTATGCCACATTTACTCACCGTGTGTATGCGTGTTATGTGAATGTCTTTGGTTCACAGGCTCCCTCTGATTCAGGTGCATGGTGATAGGCAAATAGCCAACATGGTAGCTAATAACATGAGTAAAAATTATTTGACAAATTTATCTGCAAAAATGTTTCTGGTCCAATGTCTCACCTGTATCATCTGCCTCCTCCCTGAATCTTTTTTGTTCTTTTAAGTACAGCGTTATTCTATTTAATCAGTATTTAAAAGAGGCGTAACCTTGGTTTCTATATCCATCTGTGACACATTTTTTCATTACTGCTCAGGAATTGGATAATCCAAGCTTGCTGTCATTAATTTTCTTTTATTGTTTGCCTCAGGCTAGTGTTTGGATTAAGTATGGGCATGTTTCCTTCAAGTGTATGTGTGTGTGTGTGTGTGTGTGTGTGTGTGTGTGTGTGTGTGTGTGTGTGTGTGTGTGTGTATGTGTGTGTGTGTCTATGTACGTGTGCACGATTTTTGTTTTTTGTTTCCTCTCATACTTAAATTCACCCATGACTTCAACTCTTGCATGCTAAATTACTTACAGACCAAATTACACGCAAGACAGTCAAATTTGTGACTCATTGAAAACAGAAAGTAAAAAAAAAAATAAAAAAATAAAAAACATTATTAAGCCCTCTCCCTTAGATTTTGTCCAACAATCAACAAAAACAATTACAACAAACACCCAGTGAATCCATGACCATAAAAGTGCACAGGCTCAGGTTACTGTGGGGCAGACTGTGGTAGGAAATACTGTGGGTAAAGCAATTAAAGCGTCGTGTTTTGCTACAAACCATTCATTTCATAATGCATTGGCCTTAATCTTAGAATTAAAGTAAAGATTGTTCGGTTAAAGTTGGAGTGTGCAACTTATTTTGCCAACTCATTCTATGAAAGATTTACAACTTGAAGACTTTTATGGAGGACAGAATAACAGCGTCATTATAGTGTTTTCCCAGTATAATTTATATACAGTACAAAGTGTAAGTGTACATCCTACTACAGCATGAAAGCTAAGTCTGATCCACTGCAGTGCAAGACAGTGGGAGCAGTCTAAACTAAACTGTAATCATTGAGTCGGATCTTTGTGTCATGAAGAGTACAAATATTCAGATTTGTTACTTACATTTTGTCCCATATTCTGTGAAAAGTATCTTATGATTATGTGTGCTCTGATAATGGATCCAATAGGGACAGTATTTCGCTGGCAGTGCTGTGACTATAAACTAGATTAACTAATAAATCATTCAAGCAGCTCAGCAAAGCACATTATTTGCTATTTGTGCGCCACTGTAAACACCAGCACCGGAGTCAATAATGACTTCCTGCTAACAATGCTGACATCTACTGGACATAATGGGCTCTGCCTCAACAGTAAATACATATGTAGATATGGAATTTACCCCATATGTATCACAGATGTGTGTAATTCAGGGATTTTGATCTATTCTTAATAGCTTTAAACAAGAGTGTTGTGTTAATACATAAAATAGCTTCAAAATGTAGGTGTGACTTTCAAACTGAACTCACTTCCTTTTACATTATAATGACAATGAAAGGCATGAAGGCAGAAATACTCAAAGTGTTCTGCAATTTCTTAAATGAGACAGAAAGTTTTCTTTTTCTTTTTTTTTTTAGTTCCAGCTATGGTTTTGGCTGTCTTGCTTTAGCCCTCCCTCCCCAAGCTGTTATGTTGTATGATAGATGAGAGG